CCAAAGCCACTGGGCAGAGTGGGCCCGAGGCGGCAGCGGGGCCCCTCCCTCCTGCCCCAGTGCTGCCCAGGGCAGGCCTAGGACCCACCGTCCAGGTACTCCAGCAAAAGGGGGATGGTCCTTCCCCACCGTGGGCCCAGCAGGGGGTGGATGTCCCGATGCAGCACATTCAGGAGCCGCAGGGCAGCTGCTGCGCGCCCGTCTGCCAGGCAGGGGCTGGAGGACACGACCTGGGGCAGAGGTGGGAGCAGGCCTGAGCAGGCAGCCCCCTGGAGGCTTGCACGCCCAAGCCGGCGAGACCATGCACAGGCTGCAGGGCCATGATGCGGGAGTCCAACGGCCGGCCGGGCGCCAGCTCCGAGCCAACCCTGTGCAGGAGGTGCTGGGCTCACCAGGAGTCTCGTGGTCACAGCGTAGGGAGATGGGAGGTTCACTGCAGACAGACGTGGGGCGGTCACTCAGTGAGCAGCCGCAGCAGCTGGGAGACAAGCCAGAGCCCCGGGGTGTGGGTGGGGCTGGGGTCACACGGGGCCAGGAGGTACCAGGCTCAGGGTCAGGGACCGGGATGGGGTTAGGGGCTGTGGGCCACGGCACACCCTTGGCGTCCTGCTGGATGAGGGAGGCATCGGCCCCGGCCTCCTGCCTCTTCAGGGCCAGGTGTAGGAGGCTCCGGCAGAGTGGGGTCAGGGCCCCGGTGAAGCGCACGGGGATGAGGAGTGTGAGCAGGTACGGCCAGAGCACCTGGGGGAGGGAGGACCCTGGTCTGCAGGTGGCGTGCGGGCCAGCCCCGAGGAGCCAGGGGTGGCACAGCAGAGCTCGGGAGAGCGCAGCCTCTCTGCTCATCCTGCTGTAGCAGGGCGGCCTCTGAGCTCGGCTGCTGCCTGGGAGGCCGAGCTGCCCACCGCAGTGCCCTCGCCGCAGGGGTAGGGTGGGCAGGGAGGGCAGCCACAGGGCGGGCAGCCTCCAGAGGGGGAGTCCTGAGCTCTGGGCCCTGCACAGGTATGAGTGCAGGAGGCCTGGCCACACTCACGTCGCCCATCCTGTCCACGGTGGTGCTGACCAGGTAGAGCGTGCGGACGCTGATGGCCCGCACACTGTCCGCCGCAGGGTCGTCGCCGTCCAGGCCCGGCTTCTCAGGCTGGAGGTGGGGAGGTAAAAGTCAAGCGCAGGCATGGGGTGGCCACGTGGAGCCAGGCCAGCCAGGTTGGGGGCCCGGGAATGCCCTCCACGCTGAAGACTCCCAAGGAAACGGGCTCGCCTGGATGCAGCGCCACTCAGTCACCCCGGACGCACAGAGCAATGACCCTGACCAGCACGCCGCACCAGGCGGTGGGTGGCCCGGTCTGCCCAGGACAAGCACCCTCCGTGGCTGGGGCGGGCCTC